TAAGTAATAATAATATTGGTAATTGCCTTTGTGCCTTTTTCATCAGACATCGCTGTGTTTGACTGTTTACACTCACTCAGTGTTTCTCTTTTACAGGAGCTAAGTATGGAGTCTGGAATTGATCCAGGGCAGGAATACTATGGGCAAGATTACTACAGTTATGAGCATGGGTATATTTTCATTTTCCCTATTTACTTCTGAAAATGCTGCTTTTCCAGGCTGGTGATGTTTATTATTACAGCAGCTAATCAGGAGGCTTTCCTTCACCTCGGGATTACTTTAATCTTTGTGTTCACAAAAGCATGCACTGACAAAAAAACTCTTTCCAGAAGTTAAGGGGGTGTTTGATAACTCCTTGCTTCTTTAGCAATCTCATTATTCCGCTTGCAGAGTGTGCTCCCATCTATCATGCTGCTTTTACATTTGTGCTTTGGTTATTTCGTGTGTTTCTGCTGTCTTGGAGATTAATTCCCATCACCTCTTCCCCTTCTGAGTTCAGGGATTAATCCTCTCTGGTCTCTGTTCCCAGCCAGCATCTGGCCTTTTAAATTTCCCTCGAAAAACATCATCCTGCCTTGTTCTGAGAAAGCCCATTTGACTACAAGCACCTCAGGAGTGCTGGCCTTACGAGGGATTCTCCAGAACTGATCCCAGGGGACCTGCTCTTTCATTCCACAGTTATAAAAAAGATCCCCCAAGAAATCAGGTGGATGGAAGGAAGGTCATTGCACTTGGGGGGTTCTTGACTGATCCCAGAGACCTTGCCATTCTGGTCTGGTCATAACAACTTGTGGCCAGTTGGAATAAAAAGTTTGGGAGTGTGTTGCCACTAAGGAAAAAGGAATAATTATCTTCTTGAGGTAGAGAGAAAGGAGAGAAGTTTTCATCCCTTTGGGATGTGAGCGCGTGCACATCGACAGCCAGGCCAGGGAGGGGATTGTCCCGCTCTGCTCTGACCTGGGGCGGCCTCACCTCAAATATTGGGGCAGTTTGGGGCACCCCAATATAAAAGAAAGATATTGAGCCATTAGAGAGTGTCCAGAGGAGGCAACCAGGATGGGGAAGGGCCTTGATTTGAAGCTGTGTGAGGACACTGAGGGCACTTGGTGTGTTCAGCTGAAGAGGAGACTGAGGGGAGACCTCAGTGCAGTTCCAACTGCCTGGGCAGGGGCAGAGGAGGGGCAGGGACTGAGCTCTGCTCTGGGGGGACCAGGGACAGCACCCAGGGAATGGCTGGAGCTGTGTCAGGGCAGGCTCAGGTTTGATCTCAGCAAAAGGTTCTTCCCCCAGAGGCTGGTGGGGCACCAACCAGGCTCCCCAGGGCAGTGGGCACAGCCCCAAGGCTGCCAGAGCTCCAGGAGGGTTTGGCTGATCCTCTGGGGCACAGGGTGTGACCCTTGGGGCTGCGGCGGTGCAGGGCTGAGGGTTGGACTGGATGATCCTTGTGGGTCCCTTCCAGCTCAGCTGGTTCTGTGATGTGTGATTTCTTGCTGTGTGGTGGGACATGGCTGTGCTGGTGCTCACGAGGTGTCTCTGGCAGGTACGAGCTGCCGCAGTACGGGAGCCGCCGCCGGCTGCTGTCCCCGGCGGGGATGTACGACGAGTACGGGGAGGTGGTGGTGGAGAGCGACGGTGGCTACTACTACAGTCCCCATGGACCCACAGCTGAAGAGGTGAGAGGCTCTGGTGTGCTGAGCCTGCCTCTGCAGCAGGATGAAGCACCACCAAACCTTGTCAGATGTGTGTTATTATTGATTAGACCAGTGTTCCTCACAGACCAGATTAGCGTCTCTTCCATGCTGAGCGTTGTCTGCCTTTCTGATGATCCCTAAAAGTTTGTGTCAGCACCCCTTTCCCTTTTTCTAGAAACAGAAAGGAATTGCCAAGTTTCTTTGAATATCCACATCTATTTTTCTCCTCAATTGTAGATTTTCAGTTCAAAGAAAAATCCACGTAGCCTTAAGTAATTCCATTTTATATCATTAACCAAATGAGGAGACCTTCTGATGTGTGAAGGGGCTACAGGGAAGCTGGAGAGGGACTGTTCATCAGGAACTGGAGGGACAGGACAAGGGGGAATGGCTTCACACTCAGAGAGGGGAAATTTAAATGAGATATATGGAAAAAATTCTTTACTCCGAGGGTGGGGAGGCCCTGGCACAGGTTGCCCAGAGAAGCTGTGGCTGCCCCTGGATCCCTGGAAATGTCCAAGGCCAGGTTGGACGGGGCTTGGAGCAACCTGGGCTAGTGGGAGGTATCCCTACCCGTGGCAGGGGCTGGAATGAGATGATCTTTAAGGTCCAACCCAAACCATTCTGTGTTTCAATGATTCTGATACTAACATTCCACCTAAAACTGATGACTTTCCACTGAGCAAAGCAGTACCTGAACTCATTATCATAAATTTCACAACTGAATGTAAAAAAAATTTGAAATGTCAGCGGCAACCAGAAGAAAGTGGAAGTAAAGATTCCTTTAAAGAAATAATCTAATTTTCATGAATCCTAGACTCTTAATCCATTATTAAATGAGAAGAAATAACATTCCTGAGCCAGTATTTTTCCCTGTTGCAGAGTAAGTTAGTTGTGCACTTGCAGCCTGTTCTACAAGTAAAACTTTCCTCATAACTTTGGTAAAAAAATACATTCTATAACAGGTAAGTTAGTTTTGCTGCTGGGAAAAAAATGGTGTGTTTGTTCCTACTGACTTACTTTAGGGTACAGGCTTTTGCTATAACTGTCTTTCAGATGGTAATCAATTCATTTTCGTGATTTGCAGGGGATGAGTCAAGTCAGAGGTGCTCCGAGCAGAGGGATAAGCCAGGCAGCAGGGGCTCAAAGAGGAGCTAGACCTTTAGGTGGTGGGATGGACCCAAGGCGTGGTCCTGGACCGTACAGGACCAGCCAGGGCAAAAGGAGACTGAAAGCAGTGATGCATGTGAGTCGTGTAGCAGTCAGTGCTCACAAACCAGTGGGAAGAGCCGAGTCCGCTCGTTCCCGATGGAAGAAAGCAAAGATATTCCCGATGATCCTGCAGAAAGTGAAGGGCAGTAGGAAAGATTCCAGCTATGCCAAGCTGATGTCGGCTCGCCAAGCAGACGGAGACAAAAGCATGATCATCAGGGGAAGCTACTTCCAGAAATCCACAGATGACAGACCTTCCATGAGGAAACTGAATCATGTGTTAAAGCGCATCAGCGTCTCCAGGAAACTTCAGGAGCCTCTTGGCAAGGATTTGGCACGGGGAGAGGAGGAGTCTGAAAGAGAGGAAGCAAAATCGGGAGTTTCAATAAGTATCACAGCAGAGAGTGAGCAGGAGGACAGTGACTATGAGAAGAAGAAGAAGAAGAGAAGGAGACACACCTCAGATGAGTCATCCGAGAAGAGCAGCAGCTCCGGCTCGGAGTCGGAAGACAAAGACTACTTGAAAATAACTCTGGACCAAGATGAAGCCACAGAAAGCACTGTGGACTCGGATGAAGAAACTGAGCAGGATTTGGGGGATTCTGAGGACGACTCCGAGTCCAGCTCCAGCGGTGAATCGGAGGAGGACTCATCTGAAGAGGATGATGACGAGGAAGACTCGGACAGCGATGAGGATGGTAGCCTGTCAAAGAGCTCATCCACACGAAGTTCCTACAGCAGATCAGGGACCAGCGAGTCCAGCAGCATCAGAAGCACTGAAAAGTCCAGTATAAAAAGCAGGGGAGGGAGCTCTCATGGCAGAGCAAGACGCTCCAACCAGAAATCTAGCAGCTCTACTGCATCAGGCAGTGACAGGGACACGAGCTACAGGAAAACTTCAGGATCCAGCTACAAGAGCAAAACCTCCTCCGCCAGCGTCGGGATAGAAGACACCATAGAAGAGGTGTCAGAAGAAGAGGAAGAAGCAGATGAGACAGCAGATAGTTCAAGCAAGGCAGCTTCTAAAACATCTGCAAAACCTGGAGAGGGCAAGAAAGGGAAATCAGCTGTCAGTGGTGAGGAGAGCGAGGAGGAGAGCGCAGAAGAGGCTGACACAGATGGTAGTGACAGGGAGGAAACTCTCAGTAAGAATGAATCTTCTGGCCTAGAAAGTGAAATCAGTGGGACTTCCAAAGGTCCCAACGTGAAAAAGGGAAAAAAGGTGTCCCAGGAACAGAGTCAGTCTCAGTCAGGTGAGAGCCTGGAGACTGGAGTCACAGAGTCAGAGGCTGCGGGGGATTCCACGTCCTTCTAAAGAGGAGTGACAGTAGGTGCATGGTTTGCAGTGAGCAGTGGGTTTGTTTGCTGTGCCTTCTGTGTGGTCTTTCTACTGACTAGAGATAGCCAAAGAGAAAAGGGCAAAGCTTATTGATTCAGCTTTTGACTGTCTTAAGGATGGAACTGTAGAAAACCAAACTGTCTGAGAGGAATATACATGTTTTAGATAGACAGAGATATATATACACACACACACTAGAAATAAATACTTAGTGATTCATGGTGGATAAAGATTAACTTTCATGGAGCAATGGCAGGAAGAAGTGCTTTATTTTCCTGCTGATTTCCATAATATAGATGAAGGTGCATTGTGATGATTCTTAGGTTTATCCCTTTTGCATCACACACGTCATGGAGCAAAGGAAGTTCGTGTTCTGCAGTGGCTGTGACAGAGCTCACCAAACCTGAGGGCACAAACCCCGTGTTCGTGCATGGGTCTGACACAAAAGGGAACACTGCAGGAAGGAAGTGGGGCAAAACATGGGATTCAGGGGAGAACTGGAATGATGAGGATGAAAACATTTTAAAATCACACATATTTTCACCTCACAATGCCCTCCTATACATTTGCTCATCTTCAGGTGAGTTCTCTGCTGGCAACGTCAGCCCTGTTGGCAGGCAGGACAAGGGAAACTGCAGCAAAGAAACACTCCCAAAACTGCAGAGTATAACTGGGAGAACTGGGATTGAACTGGTTCTGGATCGTGGGATTCAGGTTGCAAACACCAGTGATGCACGAGACAGGGGTGCAGAGGGAGGGGCACCCAGTGAACTGGGTCAGGAAAGGAAGTGGATCACATTTCCAGACCTCTGCCCTTCCTGCCTAACAGTACAGTGATTTCATTTCATTTTATTGAAACATCTAGTTTAACATGGATTCAGGATCACTTGCCTGCTCCTCTGCATTCCCATACAGCACAACGGTGTAGCTGCACAGGGTGTTTCAGCAGGACTCCTGTTTAAACCAGGCAGTCTTTTCATCCAGCAGAATATGAAGAAAATTGTATGTCTTTGCCAGGAACAATGGGAATAGGCATCAGAGTCCCAATTTGTACCGAGTGTGACTCCTCAAAAGCTTAAGAATAATCACCACCCCTTTGTGCCTTGCATGATTTTCTTTCTCTAAAAACTGTCATTTTTCAGGTTCATGTGTGTTTTGCAGTGGGAGTTAACTGATGGTATCTGCTGATAGTGTTTGCATCATTAATTCAGGAAGGGTAGGAGCTCATTTCAATGTACTGCAAGGAGACATTTATTTTAAAAAGATCAATTATAATTAAAATAAGTAGTGGGGTTTGTGTAATCACTCCATGGTAATCACTATTAGTACAAAGTCTCAGCAGCGTGGAAATTGTTTGCATTAATTCTTAAAAAAAAAAAATATAAATTAGATAAAATCTGAAGTCTTGTTTCTCCACCATTTTCCATTTAATAGCCAAGCATCTCCATTGATTCCACCAGACTGGAACTGGCACAGAGCCTTATATTGAGCCTTTCTTTTTATAGCCAGCCAATTTTGCCAATGTCGTGCCTGAGAATTTCCCTTGTGGAGGTCCCGAGCTTTTCTCTGCTCGATGTGTTGTGCATATAAAGCAGAGCTGCTCAGTGCCATTTCTGCACTGAATCCACAATGGAGTCATGGAAGAAAACTTCTAAGGCCTTCCCAGAACTTACACATTAGAGTGGTTTCTTGAAAGTGTTGCCTCTGCAGCAGCTTCCTCCTCAGCGCCTTCCAGCTCCCGTGCACAGCCCAAGGTGCACAGACCGAGTTAGGAAAAATTGATATGAGTTATTAATTACTTAACAGATAGAAAAAAGGGCAGGGAAACGTAAGAAGTGGTAGGGGAGAGATGTAATGACTTTTCTGTTTCTCGTCAAACAGTGGGCCAAAAAGAAAAGGATCAAGTTGATAGTGGACCCGGAGTACGAGACCAGCTCCACGGGAGAGGACAGCGCTCCCGACTCGGGCCAGAGGAGCCGGCTCAGCAACCCCAGCGTGCAACCCAACGTCAACGGGAACATCTACATCGCCCAGAACGGCTCCGTGGTCAGGACCCGGCGTGTCTGCCTCGGCAATAATTTAAAAGCCACGTCTCCGGTGAGGCTGGGGAAACAGTTCAAGAAACTGGACAAGCTGGCGGTGACGCACGAGGAGAGCGTCCCACTGAACACGTTGTCAAAGGGACCTGCTCCCAGTGACAAAATGAACACAAGACCTTGCAGTGTCTCCTTTGCTGCCTCTACTATAGGGGCCGAAAATATAGTAACAAAGCCCGGGGGGTCCAAAATTAAAAGCACAGAAGAGCAGGAATCAGTTATTGACCACGAGGATGTCAAAGAGCCCTTGGAGTCGCACAGTGAACACACACAGTCAGACGAGGAGGAGCTCTGGATGGGCCCTTGGAACAACCTTCACATACCAATGACGAAACTGTGATTTTAGTTCCTTTTTTTATTTTCATTTTTACTTCGGTTTATAATAAACTGCGCTTTTTATTGTTACCCAGGGGAGATGTCCGAGGTTTGTGTTGTGCACATCCATTGTCTACAAACGGCACGCTTTAAACTCTCCAAAACACAATTTGCACTCACATTTGTACCGAATAATTGTCCTCCCCACCAGCTCTTTTGACAGGCTCCCATTTCACTAAACAACCCTTGGTTTAAATTAATGAGTTCTTTTGGATCTGGATTTCTTGTTTTAATAAACAGTAAACTACTAATAAATGCACAGCACCATTTGGTTCACTTTTCAGACAGTTCTATACCTGCCTAGCTTGTTTTTCTGTATGGTACTTGTGGCTATACTGTTTAGATTTGGAAATTGTCTATTTATGTTCGAGATTTATTATCCAGAGCTCTGCATTCTGAACTCAGAGTAATAAATTAAAAATAAATCCATGAAAGTCAATGGAGCAAATCCTCGGCTGGCTTAAATTTGAGTAAGAATTCCAGAGTCGATAGGGATAGAGCAGTTCGTGCAAACAGAGCACCTCGCTCAGTGCCCAGCTGGAAAACGTGTGGAATCAGAGTTCCTGAAATTACAGCACTTGCCACGTAGAAAAGCAGAACAGAAAATGAAATCAGATAAAAATTGCAAAGAGGAAGGAGATGTGTAGCAATTAATCATATTCAGAGCTACCTGGCCGTGGTTTGTTCATTTTCTTCTGTAAATGAGCTCGTTCCAATTTTCTTCTCCAGTCAATTTTTCATCTTTTCATCTCTTCCCACATCAGTTCTGTTTGCTTCTTTCTATGGTCTTTAGCTGCAGTTTTTATGCTCCAGCAGTAATTGTCATCCTATGGCTATATTCCCACGAAATAAGCCGGGATGATACACGAGCCTGGGTGATAGAAGTAGACATTAAAGAGTAATTAATAGGAAGGGGATGGATCCATTTCCAAGCCCAGCTGGCTGTGGGGTTGAGCGGTGCAATCACCATTCCACTCCCATAGTGGTGAACATAAACCTGCTGAAAAGACAAATGGATGGCAGGGGGAAGAGGATAAAAAGGGAATATTTTATGAGGGTAATATGCACAGACAGATCTGTGAAGGGCAAAGGGTGTCAGAACACACACGCACAGACAATCATTTCCCAAACTTTCAGTGCACATTACTTGGAAAATACACACCATAAATTTGGGCACGTGCTTCTGATTTCTGTTTGTACCTCAGGGTAACGAGTTGTTGTGTCACAGCTTGAACAGGGAGCTGAGAAATGCCCCTGTTTGTAGTCACCAATATGATATAAGACAGAAGAAGTGTCCTGTTGTGTTGTGCCAACTTTTTTTCAGCATAAGATCAAACTAGCTGCGGGAATAATATGGATTGTTCCGGAAAGATTGGAAGAGTCGACACGTTCAATCAGTAAGGAAGTGATTGGTGTCATCCTTCTTCCCCTGTTCTACAGCTGAAGCTTCACCACAAGATGTGGGTGAGGATGGTTCTGCTCTGGCAGGAAATGGACTTGTGCTGCTGTGCTCGTGTTTGCTGCCCCTTTTCCACAGGTTCTCCTCCTCCAGACCCCTCGGGATGTGTGTCTTTAGGAGCCGTTCGCATGTTCTGCCGATGTAAACGTGACCTTTCTGTCAAATACCTCCCTCTCCAGCTGAGGTTTCTGACCAAATATTTTGAGCAATGGTGCTTGTTTTTAGGCATGAGAAATGCAATGTAGCCTATCACACACAAGGGGAAAACAAAAACCACCGGGTGTTTCTTTTTCTTAACTCTTTTATCTTGGCATATTTGCACTTGGTACGTAACAAAAAAAAACAGCTGTTTGGAATTTAGCTGGAGGCTGGACATACACATAAGACTGATGGAAGAAAGAAAAAAAAAATCTATTCTTTGAAATAACTAGTAAAATGTTCTATTTTACTCCTGTTTAAGATACTGTTATTATTTCACTCCCTGATTTTTGTTGCAGAGTCTGTCACTTCTGTTCTTACTAATATTTCAATGTGCTTTGGAGAGAAACATTTTCTCCCAGCTGCTCTCAATTTTCTGAGGGAAAACCAAGTTGTTTCTTTATTTCTAGAGACTCAGAACTCTACCAGCTGTAGCTCTGAGAAGGATCCTCAGGCTGGACACTGGTGGTCAGTAGTGCTGTCCGTGCTTCTCGGAGGCTAAACCCCTCAACACCATCTCCTTTGTGCTGTCCAAGCACTGAGAACCTTTCCCACAGTGCAAAGAGCATAAGAAATTCCACTTTTTCAGCAGTGGGAGGCTGTGTTATCTAAAATTTTAGCTCGATTGTAGCTAAACTTTCCAAAGCACTGTTGGCTTTGTAAAATCTTTCACGCGTGGGTGGGAGGGGGTGGGTGTATTTTTTTTTCTTTTTTTTATTTTCTGTGGATGTAATCCTGTAAATTAATACAGAATTCCCAGCTTTGCTTTCTGGGGATGGCACGCTGACAGAGTGATCCAGTCAAAAAAGTCACTCCAACTGTCCCTTTGGGAAGCCAAGCATCAGCACTGGCTTTGGATACAGTAAGTTGAATAACAGATCTGTGTCTGGGGGTATAATTTACAGCTATTTAACCACTGAAATTTGTCAAGCTGAGGCAAAGCACGAGCAGCTTCCCCTGGGTGGCAGAACTGCTCGCTGGCTGATGGATCAAGGTGATAATCATCAACCCTGCCATTGATTTAATTTGGACACTCCTCCAAGCAGGCACTGAGGATTCTGAGGTTTAGCACAGCACCTGCTACGTTTTCACTGGGAGGAGGATTCCAATGACCATTTGTGGGGCTGTGTAATTCCCACTGGGAGGCAGCACAATAGAAAATAGAAATAATTTTGGTTTCTCCTTTCTGTATATACTACAATGGGCAAGACTGTAAAGCCCCACAGTTCTATCAGGGACCTGCTGGGAAGCTTAAAATATTTCTGTATTAATGGTGAGTAGTCCTTGCACCCAGGATTTGGTGTGAGGGCAAGGACAGTGGGGTGGTGGAGGGTGACATGTGTCTCTGTCTTGGTGCCTTCTGCTGCCAGAGATGTCCCAGCACATTCATTCAGCATCCCCCCACCAAGGACTGAATCCTTCCAGAACCTGCTCATGTAGCTGGAAAACTTGCCCAGTCAGCAAAATGGAAAAGTGCTTGGGGAAAAAAAAAACTGAATTTTTAGCAATGGGAGAACAACACCATCCTGAGACAAATTTCAGCTTTTATGGTGGACAAACACATAGTGGGAATGGGCTGTTTTAGACCAGTCACAACCTGCTGACCCCCCAAATGCTGCACGAAGAAATGGGGTCTTGAAGACACACCTGAAGGACGGGGCCATCCAGGGGGACCTGGACAAGCTCGAGCAGTGGCCCCTGGGAATCTCAGGAGGTTTAACAAGGCCAAGTGCTGGTGCTGCCCCTGGGTCAGGAGAACCCCTGGGATCAATCCAGGCTGGGGATGAGCAGATGGAGCAGCCCAGGCAGAAGGCCCTGGGGGTGCTGGTGGGGCAGAGGCTGGAACTGCCCCGGCCCAGAAACCCCCCGTGCCCTGGGCTGATCCCCCAGCGTGGGCAGCAGGGCAGGGGGGGATTCTGCCCCTCTGCCCCTCAGGGGAGACCCCCCTGCAGAGCTGCTCCAGCCCTGGGAACAGCACAGCAAGGACATGGAGCAGCTGGAGCCAGTCCAGAGGAGGCCCCAAGAGGATCAGAGGGCTGGAGCAGCTCTGCTGGGAGGAAAGGCTGGGAGAGTTGGGATTGTTCAGCCTGGAGAGGAGAAGCTTTGGGGTGACCCAACTGTGGCCTTCCAGGGCCTGAAGGGAATCTGCAGGAAGGATGGAGAGAGACTATTTCCAAGGGCCTGGAGTGGCAGAACAAGGGAAAATGACTTCCCACTGCCAGAGAGTAGATTTGGATTAGATATTGGGAAGAAATTGTTGTCTGTGAGGGTGGGGAGGCCCTGGTCCAGGTTGCCCAGAGAAGCTGTGGCTGCCCCTGGATCCCTGGAAGTGTCCAAGGCCAGGTTGGACGGGGCTTGGAGCAACCTGGGCTAGTGGGAGGTGTCCCTGCCCATGGCAGGGGTGGGACTGGATGAGCTTTGAGGTCCCTTCCAGCCCAAACCATTCTGGGATTCAGTGATTAGTGTGAAGTTAATTATGTTTCATACAGTTCTGTTCTGCCCAGAGACAAGCCTTAGGCACACTGAATTTTGGCAAACTGCAGTGCCTGGGGAGAATTTATGCACTGATCTAACCCTTCCTGGAGCTTTGCTGGGTGTTATTTGGAAATGAGAGTGTGATCCCTGTTCTTTGTGCAGGGATTCCAGTCCTTCTTTGGTCCCTGGGACCATTAGGGAGCTGCAGGTTCCCTGTCTGGGTGATCCCTCACTGAAAACAGGAAACAAAATTTAAGAACCAAATGTGTTTCATTACTAAATACAGGTTTTCAGGGGACTTCTACATATTAAATAACTTAGAGGAAACTTAATCTCTCTTAATTAACCCCTGTCCAGTGTCTAGTCACTTAAATTTCCCTTCCAGTTTTGCTGGGGAATATTTAAGCACCAGAGTTTATTTTCCATTAATTTAGATTTAGTTATATTTTCTGAGACATGACACACCACCACCAAAAACAATGGAACAATGTGACCAGGAGGCCTAAAAGTTCATCTTCCAACATTCACATCATCTTTTTGGAGTAGGTGTCCTCTGGAAGCCTGGTTGAATAAGGGGTTTGGTTTCAACTCTGTGTGACACAGACCCAAATCTTAAATTTCTCACAGGTTGAGGGGAAAATAAATTTCGTTTCAGCCTGAGGTGAACAGTGTTTAAAATAGGGCTCCCAGGGTACTTTTCTAGCAGACGGAGATATTGATGATTGTGGAGATATTGATTTTAGAATGCTGTTTATTTTAAAATCTGCTCAGAAGTTTGTGGTATTGAAAATATTTGAGAAAAGTAGTTAATGAGGCACTGGGAGGTGAGAGATGAAGTCCAAAAAGTGGTGAGACCTCCTACTCTTGGTGTAGAAATACGGTGTAACCCACCTGCAGGGGCTTTTCATTGGGTTTAACGTGGTGAAGAGATGAAATTCATACATGTGTTGATACTTCTGTGATGTTTTGTGTCTCTGGGGAGATGGGGTCCAGTATTGACTGATCATTTTGATACCTAAGAGGTTTTTTTTTTTAACAAGGGGTCGACTTATTTTTGAACTTATCGAGTAGCAACTTTAAATTAAAACAAGTAGTAAACTTGTTTTAATTTCTCTTCCTTCCCCCTTAAAGAAGATGCAAAAGTAAATGTCTTGCCCAGTAGCCCAGTGAATGTGCTCTTTCTGTTGGGTAGTAGTAGTTTGCTAGAAGTAATTGAATGGCTCTGATTCATATCATGAGTTCTTTTTTTTCTCTCTCTCATAAGTATCTGTGTCCATGCATGTTTCCTCACATGTGATTATCTTCTTTTCTTTCAAGTCTTTTTCTTCTCTACCATTTCCAACAAAGCAGGGGAAAAAAGTCAAAGTCAGTCTTAGAAGAAGGAGACCGTCAGAGAGTTATAAGCAGCTTTGCTTCCCGTGCTATTGAGGCTCACAAGCAATCCAATATCAATGGATCACTGAACAATAACCTCCCCAAATCCTCAAGTAACATTACTTTTTTATCTGATGAGAACCCATTAACCACTCAGAACCCCCTGTATGTGGAAGGTCTCCCTCAGAGTCCCACTGCTGCCGGGTTTCTACGGAAAAGGAACGATACTCTTGATACTCTTTCTCCTTCAAGACTGGCCCTGAGAGAGGCCTCCTTGGGGGGCAGTCACCGGGCATGGACGGTGCCCACTCACCTCACCAGGAGGCACACGCCTGGTTCTCTGAGCAGGCCAGTTATCATGGACCCCATCCAGTGGCAGCAGGAGAGACTCAAAGCCAGGAAGGAAGGAGCTGCCAATCAGGAGAGCAGTGTTGATGTTAGCAGTCCACTCTTTCAAAGACTGAGTGGCCCCAAGTTGACCGTGAAGGAGAAGGCCAGGCAGTTTGAGCAGCAGGCGTTGCAGGAGATGAAGCAGGTGAAATCTCCTGACGTGAAATCCAGGCGGTCGCCGACGCACAGCAGCGCCGTCCAGGAGGGAGAGAACGCCCCAGAGCAGTCTCCTAAAAGTGTGGTTGCTTCTCCTTGCCTTCACTCTTCTCCTCAGTCCTCTCCAACACCTTGTGCTGAAGTAGCTGAAGCGGAGGCCTCCGTGGTCCCCTCTGTGATCATCACTCACCACGACTCTCCTGAAGAACATTCTCCTCCTCCGACCCGCAAACCAACTCCTCCATCTTCTAGGATAAAGAAACCAGTTTGCCAAAGTTTTCTAGCTCCTCAGACCAAAGAAGTCATAGCAAGCATTCCAGATCCACCTAAAATTCCCCCACCCCCCCCGCCACAGCTGCCACCTCCACTGCCACCACCTCCTCCATCCCCTCCTCTGTTGCCACCGCATCCTCCTCCTCCTCCTCCACTCGCAGTTTCTCTTCCTTCTTCTATTTCTTCTTCTTCACCCCCTCTTAGCCCCCGGCTGCTGTCCCCTGCCAAGCCTCCCAGCTCCCCTGCCAAACAGCCAGCTGTCCCCGTGCCGGCCGCAGTGCCAGAGCCTCCCCCTCGCAGGGAGCTCAAAGGGATTCTTAAGAACATTCAGAATTTAGCTGCCATCGAGAAGTCGGTGGCCAACATGTACAGCCAAATAGACAAGAACCACCTGCTGCCCAAGCACGTCTCCAGGCTCAAAGCAGCCGCGCCCCCGGAGCTGCCGACTCCGGAACCCGCGGCCGAGCACAACCAGCAGAACGGGAACTTGAGCTGTGTTGTGGAGGAGCTGGAGCAACGCTTCCCCTCCCAGTCAACGGCACTGTAATGCTCCCAGTTGGATGTTTTCTGCATGGGACCTTTTGACTCTAATGCAGCACACGGTGTCTGCCTCAGACTCTCCAGCAATCCCGACTTTTCCCCTTTCCCCACCATGTATCACGACTTTTCCACCGCTAATCCCCAACTGAGAGACCTCGTCTTTCCTGTTCGCTCGGAAATTTGTAATGTATCCTGTAAACCTACAAGTTGTTTTCTCAGAACTACATCTTGCTGTTCTGCCATGTTGGTTCTTTGTTTACTGAAAATTCTTGGGGGAAGCTGTCCATTTTTCCCCAAGGATTGGTCCCAGCCGGCAGCGGGCTTGGCACTGCTTCACGTCAAGCAGCTCTCACTGTAGGTAATATCAGTAAGATTTTGCTGGAATCTCTTGCTTTGCCCACAAAATGTGCCACCTGGAAGGAACCTCCTGCCATGTGTTGGGTGTCAAAGCAGGCTCAGCCACGGTGAGCTGGGGTATTGGACTGGGCCTGGAGCAACCTGGGCTAGTGAAAGGTGTCCCTGCCCATGGCAGGGAGGGGAATGAGCTGATCTTTAAGATCCCTTCCAAGCATTCTATAATTCCGTGCTGCATCTTGGTATTCCACGAGCAATGACACTCTGCTCACACGCTTTGTGGCGGCTCCAGTCAGAAGAAGGGCTTTGTCTTGATTTCTCAGCAAACCTGGCTGTCTCCCCTCCTGTTACCCATGTTCTGCCTTCCATTTCGGTTTTTTTTTTTACATTGTAACTGCATGTTGAAAGTTTTTATTTTGTAAAGTCCTCTCATGTACAAACAATTTGTTGGTTTGTTTTTTATTTTGCCATGTGCATGTTGTTGACGTCTCCCTTGAGCTTTACAGCTGAAACATCTCACCTGAAATTGTAATAAAGTCACTCTGATTAGTGTCGCCAATTACTTGTAAAAATCCATGGAATATGGATTTACTTACTGGCTTTTTTGCTCACAGTCATCTAAATCAGATCTTTACATTAAAGATGTCAATTATAATTATACAGATAAATAAATTAGCTTGTCCCTTGAAAAAAAAAAAAAGGTAAGTAAAAACAGCTTGGGCATTTGAATGTTTGGTCCAAGTTGCAAGTTTTCTTTTAGTCCTTTGCCAAAATCTAAAATATTTGCATTTAACATGACGACTTTTAAAAAATACATTGGGAAAGCCAATTACATAAAGGAGCAAAACTAAACCCCCAGTTCACTATCAAATATCGTAATTCTGAGCAAAAAGGTAATGAATTCTTTCTCAGACTGCTTAGAGCCACTCAGCATTTCCATGGTGCTTGGCTTTGTCTCTTGTCTCTTGTTTGTTTGTTTTAAATCTGCAGTTAGGACATGTGTGGAGGCCTCAGGCTCAAACTGCTGAAGGTAGTTTCTCTTTCTTTGTCCCAGAACCAAACTCCATGAATTACATCCCAGCTGATGCATTAGAATTTTTCTTTACTTAATCCTCCTGTTGGGCAGACTGTAGTTGCAAGGTATGTGTAGTAGCTGAATGTGTGAGGGGAAGGATTGTCCTCATCACCTTGTTTTTTGCTGGGAGAGAATCTCTCTCATTTATGGGATGTGCCCATGAAGAAAACCTGCCCTTGATGCTCAATTCTCCAGGGGTGGCACCACTGCAACACCAACATCAAATCCTTAAAGCTCAGCACCTCTTAAGTAGAGAACTTTTAAGACTGAAGAGCCAGAATGGGAAGGTTTCCATGTTTAGTTCTGTGTGTTGGCTGTGGCACAGTGGGAGGTGTGCAGAGATGAGCGTGAGGAATTATTGGGCTACACACATTCAGGGTGGATCAACCCAAAAATTTGAATTAAAGTACCCAAATCCTACTTTAGAGCTCATAGACCCCTAACAGATGCTGTTGAGCAGATCATTGCATCACTGGTGAAATATTAGACAAATAGGGCCTCGTTTTGTGGTGTGCAACAAAAGTGCAGGTGTTTAGTCATCCACAGTATAAACCCCACAAAGGTTTTATATGGCTACAATTATTTGGGGTGTTCCCTAAGCACAAAGAGTGGGCATCACACAGGAGCTCCATTTTAAACAGGTATTTCACTGTATGAGAAGAGTCTGGGAGGGGGTCATGGCAATCAGCTCTTCACTGATGAGGAACACCTACTTTGTCGTTCTGGAAAGTTAAGTTGCAAAGTTTACAAAAACTAGTTTTATTTCCATATAATGCAACCTTTGTGCTCCTGTTGTGGGTTTTTTTGTTTGGTTGTTTGTTTTTTTTGGTTGTTTGGTTTTTTGGTTGTTTGTTTTTTGTTTGTTTTAATGGCCTTTGTTAAAAATTAGTCTATTAGATCTGGAAAGAAGCTGTACCAGGGAAATTCTGTCCCGCTGAGGTGTCTGGGTGCTGAAGGGGGAATGGTTTTCAACCAAAAGAGGAGAGTTTTAGATTAGATGTTGGGAAGGAATTGTTCCCTGGGAGGGTGGGGAGGCCCTGGCACAGGTTGCCCAGAGAAGCTGTGGCTGCCCCTGGATCCCTGGAAGTGTCCAAGGCCAGGCTGGACGGGGCTTGGAGCAACCTGGGATAGTGGAAGGTGTCCCTGCTCGTGGCAGGGGGTGGAATGGGATGATCTTTAAGGTCCCTTCCAACCCAAACCATTCCATGATTCCACAATACTGCAGTTCTGCAGCTCTACGAAGTATAAGAACCAATAAAGTAGTTGGTAACAAGTTGAGAATATATAATGATATATATTTATATGTATAATTTACCCCTTATTAGCTTGTCTGATTTGGTCAATTAGGGTCCAGCATGACCCTGGATATACCTCTTATCCTTTCATTATCAGCATGATGGGGTCAAGGTTTGAGCAGGAGCAGAGGTGTCATCAGTGGGAAGCTCTTCCCTGCAGAGCTGGAATGGAGCCACGGTGTTAGCACTACTCACCCCCCTTCCAGAGCTGTTCTGCCTCAGTTCCAGCTATGAACTGCAGGAAACCTCCCTTTTAAGAGGCAGGGCAAATGGATAAGTAGCTGTCTCCTCTGAGTAATATCAGTAGTGTTTGGGGGTTGTGATTTTTTTCGTTATGAAATAGGAAAGGCCTGCTGGGGTCCCAGGAGTGGGGGAAATGTTGCTTTAGGCAAATCATGGTTCTTTAACCTGTTTTAGGAGCAAAAGGTTGGCACATTTACACACGTGAATTCATTCTTGTTTCTCTCTCATACTGAGTGCCAGCACTGTCCTATTATCCTACATCCTTACAGGCACCATGGCCTTGCTTCCCATTTCCCACTGAACATTTCTCTGTGACTGACTGCAGGGAAGTCTGGCTGCAAATGTTTATCCAGAAGCAATTCCTCCCTCTGTGGAGAGCTTTAATTCCTTCCTGGAAACAGATGGTGTTGTTTTGACCTTTGCCTTTCTGCCACAGTAGATCCTTGTGCTGCATTGAGTGAAAGGGTATTTTATGTCTTTTGAGCGTTTTTTTTTTTTTTCTCCTAATCATGGCCACACAAAACTCTTAGAGAAGTATCAGCATGTCAAAACCCAGTGTGGTGCTGTTTTTAAGAAAGCTGAGTTCCAAATTTAATTTGAATTACTTATATTATGCTTTTAATCTGCAATATAATGACTATCTGAGAGCAATTAAGAGTAATAAGCTTGTCCTCAGACCTTCTTTCTCCGAAGATTGTTGTAGGCAATATAGAAACTAAATACAGCGTTCCTCAAGTGGGCTTTGAAAAGCCACAGATCATCTTCTGATGATAAATCTGCATTTCAGTTGTTCATTAGTCTTATATTATATAAGTGACAGCATAAATTTAATGCTGATAATCAATTCCATGTGCTGAATATTAATAGGAAACTTTAGAGATGGTGATATTACAGAATTAAAAGGACTTCTACTCTGTTCTTTATTAGTTAGTCAGTGTAATTAGAGACTTCCCCTAGACTGCTGTCTGTGTACTAGGCTAAACCTAACATAAATTTGAGCATTTACCCCTTCCTTCTTAAAAAATGTAATAAAAATAATCCAGCCTTATCCTTAAGAATAATGCCAAGGCCTAAATAAACCGAAACAATTCTAATTTTCTGACACAAAATGTGAAAATAGAGAACTTGATAGACATAAGTGCATTTGTCATGCCCAGGAATGGCTCCAAGAAAATGAATTAAAACAACAACAAATTCCCAATAAGATCAGAAGCACAAAGCCTGTGGCAAAATTGCAGAAAAAAAAAAAAAGATAGCAGAAAAAAAACCAAAAACATTTAACTCCCCCCTGCTGAGCAAAAGTTAGGAAGTGAGTAATTTTAATAACAATGTTGGTTCAAGGAATTAGTAATAGAAGCTGCAGGGCAAGTCCTGAGTGGATATGGGAAGTCCAGGAGTAGAAGAGAAGTTGTTTCACTGCCTGAGCAGATGTGGGAGGTAACAGAGTCTCCCTGGGGATGGTCTCTGTAGGTCTCTGGGACAGCAGGGAAGGGCAGGACCTCTCTCCCAACCCCCCTGTTTCCCTTTGCTGAGTCCCACTGGATGCACTGGCTCTCTGGCTCTTGGGGGTCTCTCCTCATCCATTTGCAGTCTAAAGCACGGAAAGCTCCCAAAGTTTCCCAGCCTTTCTCATGCAATGATCCCTGTGCCCAGAGCCAATCCAAAGAAAAACATATTTGGTATTATAGATACAGATTTCTTTTCATGCCAGTTCTAATTGCATTCTCTTTTCACCTCTCCCCAGCAAGAATGGCCATGTGCATCTTTGTGCAGGTTCACAGAATTCTACTAACTGTTTTTTTTTCTTTTTCTGACTTCTAGGCGAGGATATGCACAGCAAGAGGTGAGGCTGCACCTGATTACCTTTAAAATATTCATTACACCAACATGGTTGTCCCACACAGTCTTTGATTGTGGGCAGCAGGTCCAGGGAGGGGATTCTCCCCCTGTGCTCTGCCCTGGTGAGGCCACACCCGGGTCACTGTGCACAGTTCTGGTGTCCCAGCATCACAAGGACATGGAATTGTTGGAGCAAGTCCAGAGGAGGCCACCAAGTTGCTGAGGGGACTGGAGCACCTCCCCTGTGGAGACAGGCTGGGAGAGCTGGGAATGTTCAGCCTGGAGAGGAGAACATTGTGTGGAGACCTCACAGAACCTTCCAGGGTCTGAAGGGGCTAAAAGGAAGCTGGAGAGGGGCTGTTCATCAGGAACAAGGGGGAATGGCTTCAAGCTAACAGAGGGGAAATTTAGGTTGGATATTGGGAAGGATTTGTTCTCTGTGAGGGTGGGGAGGCCCTGGCACAGGTTGCCCAGAGAAGCTGTGGCCGCCCCTGGATCCCTGGAAATGTCCAAGGCCAGGTTGGACAGGGCTTGGAGCAACCTGGGCTAGTGGGAGGTGTCCCTGCCCATGGCGGGGGTGGGACTGGCTGAGCTTTAAGGTCCCTTCCAACCGAAACTATTCCATGATTCACTGTTGGGAAACTCATGGCAACTGAATGCTTTGGATGCCAGAAATATAAAGTGAATCAAAAAGCTGATGAGACGTAAATTCCCTGGGGGCTGATATCCCACATGGCACAGGTGTGACATCCAGGCTGGAAGACTGCTGCTTAACAAGGTGCCAGAAGCAGTTTCCCAAGGAATTCCCTCCACACTTGCTGTGTTTTCTGAAGTCACACCTAATCCTCTTCTAAGAGTCAGGAACTGGGCTACTCACACCTCCCCTGCAGCTCAGTGGGCTCTGTTGCTCTTGCAGCACCATTTTCTTCAGCAATGAATAACAGGGAGAAGAGTTTCCTTCAGAACAATCTCATTTAATAATTGGCAAGATCCCCAAAAATAAATTTCTGTCATAAAGGTTGATATTTACTGATTTTCTTCCTCCCTTTGCAGAGCTGGTTTGTGTCTCTTAATTCAGTTACAGACCTTAGACCTCTTGGTCTCTGATAGAAGTCCTTGAGTTAAATATTTTAGAGAATCACCCCATAAACTGGGGATTTGAGTTTATATTAGGCAAAGGAAATGGTGAACTGTAAAGGGATTTTAGTACATGAGGTGCTTGGCAGTGTTCTCACAGGGAGGATCCAGTGACTGCCATAAAAAACCTCTGAAGGACCCGTGGTTTTAGCATTTGTTTCCACTCTTAAGCACCAAAGACCTGCAGTTTAATTGTTACTGCCTAATTAACCCCTTTCTCATTTTCTTTTGTAGCAACAGCAGTTGCTGAGACCTTCTCTTCTCAGACCAGAGGTATCACTATTTTTCATTTTTTTTTGATTATTCCCTAAGTTTTTAAATGGTTTTTACATAATTTCCTGATAAAAACCTGTCTGTCTCAGGTAATTTTTCCCCCTGGCTCTTGGAGAAAAAGGAAAGTTCTGGCATTGTAACCCTATTTATGTTATTTTAATTAAATATCCTAAATTTACTGCATCTTGGTATTTTCAAGGCCAGGTTGGATGGGGCTTGGAGCAACCACGGGGCTAGTGGAAGGTGTCCCTGCCCATGGCAGGGGGTTGGAACTGGATGAGCTTTACTGTCCCTTCCAACCCAAAGCACTCTGGGATTCTGTGGTTTTCCCCATGAGCATCTTTCAGTGACTGCCATGGACTTCATCACGCAGACTGAAAGCTTTCCCAATTCCACATTTGCAGACAGAGAAATTTCCTTGCTCTCCCACTGCAATCTGATTTTTTTCCGATGTCAGTCAGCTGCTCATCGATTCCTGTCCCTGGAGCTGAGCTGAGCAGTTGCCCTGCTGAGGGACTGGAAGCATCAACACACTGCTGGGAAGGGTGAAGGCAGCTCTGGATTACAAACCTTTCTGTTTCAAACCTTTCAGCCCCAGAGTTGTTTCCACAATAAGCAATAGAGCAAATGTGAGATGTTGCTATCGCGTGATATAGAATAGGGATGGTTTCTGCAGTCACTGGAAGTAATTACATCGTAAGTAATAATAATATTGGTAATTGCCTTTGTGCCTTTTTCATCAGACATCGCTGTGTTTGACTGTTTACACTCACTCAGTGTTTCTCTTTTACAGGAGCTAAGTATGGAGTCTGGAATTGATCCAGGGCAGGAATACTATGGGCAAGATTACTACAGTTATGAGCATGGGTATATTTTCATTTTCCCTATTTACTTCTGAAAATGCTGCTTTTCCAGGCTGGTGATGTTTATTATTACAGCAGCTAATCAGGAGGCTTTCCTTCACCTCGGGATTACTTTAATCTTTGTGTTCACAAAAGCATGCACTGACAAAAAAACTCTTTCCAGAAGTTAAGGGGGTGTTTGATAACTCCTTGCTTCTTTAGCAATCTCATTATTCCGCTTGCAGAGTGTGCTCCCATCTATCATGCTGCTTTTACATTTGTGCTTTGGTTATTTCGTGTGTTTCTGCTGTCTTGGAGATTAATTCCCATCACCTCTTCCCCTTCTGAGTTCAGGGATTAATCCTCTCTGGTCTCTGTTCCCAGCCAGCATCTGGCCTTTTAAATTTCCCTCGAAAAACATCATCCTGCCTTGTTCTGAGAAAGCCCATTTGACTACAAGCACCTCAGGAGTGCTGGCCTTACGAGGGATTCTCCAGAACTGATCCCAGGGGACCTGCTCTTTCATTCCACAGTTATAAAAAAGATCCCCCAAGAAATCAGGTGGATGGAAGGAAGGTCATTGCACTTGGGGGGTTCTTGACTGATCCCAGAGACCTTGCCATTCTGGTCTGGTCATAACAACTTGTGGCCAGTTGGAATAAAAAGTTTGGGAGTGTGTTGCCACTAAGGAAAAAGGAATAATTATCTTCTTGAGGTAGAGAGAAAGGAGAGAAGTTTTCATCCCTTTGGGATGTGAGCGCGTGCACATCGACAGCCAGGCCAGGGAGGGGATTGTCCCGCTCTGCTCTGACCTGGGGCGGCCTCACCTCAAATATTGGGGCAGTTTGGGGCACCCCAATATAAAAGAAAGATATTGAGCCATTAGAGAGTGTCCAGAGGAGGCAACCAGGATGGGGAAGGGCCTTGATTTGAAGCTGTGTGAGGACACTGAGGGCACTTGGTGTGTTCAGCTGAAGAGGAGACTGAGGGGAGACCTCAGTGCAGTTCCAACTGCCTGGGCAGGGGCAGAGGAGGGGCAGGGACTGAGCTCTGCTCTGGGGGGACCAGGGACAGCACCCAGGGAATGGCTGGAGCTGTGTCAGGGCAGGCTCAGGTTTGATCTCAGCAAAAGGTTCTTCCCCCAGAGGCTGGTGGGGCACCAACCAGGCTCCCCAGGGCAGTGGGCACAGCCCCAAGGCTGCCAGAGCTCCAGGAGGGTTTGGCTGATCCTCTGGGGCACAGGGTGTGACCCTTGGGGCTGCGGCGGTGCAGGGCTGAGGGTTGGACTGGATGATCCTTGTGGGTCCCTTCCAGCTCAGCTGGTTCTGTGATGTGTGATTTCTTGCTGTGTGGTGGGACATGGCTGTGCTGGTGCTCACGAGGTGTCTCTGGCAGGTACGAGCTGCCGCAGTACGGGAGCCGCCGCCGGCTGCTGTCCCCGGCGGGGATGTACGACGAGTACGGGGAGGTGGTGGTGGAGAGCGACGGTGGCTACTACTACAGTCCCCATGGACCCACAGCTGAAGAGGTGAGAGGCTCTGGTGTGCTGAGCCTGCCTCTGCAGCAGGATGAAGCACCACCAAACCTTGTCAGATGTGTGTTATTATTGATTAGACCAGTGTTCCTCACAGACCAGATTAGCGTCTCTTCCATGCTGAGCGTTGTCTGCCTTTCTGATGATCCCTAAAAGTTTGTGTCAGCACCCCTTTCCCTTTTTCTAGAAACAGAAAGGAATTGCCAAGTTTCTTTGAATATCCACATCTATTTTTCTCCTCAATTGTAGATTTTCAGTTCAAAGAAAAATCCACGTAGCCTTAAGTAATTCCATTTTATATCATTAACCAAATGAGGAGACCTTCTGATGTGTGAAGGGGCTACAGGGAAGCTGGAGAGGGACTGTTCATCAGGAACTGGAGGGACAGGACAAGGGGGAATGGCTTCACACTCAGAGAGGGGAAATTTAAATGAGATATATGGAAAAAATTCTTTACTCCGAGGGTGGGGAGGCCCTGGCACAGGTTGCCCAGAGAAGCTGTGGCTGCCCCTGGATCCCTGGAAATGTCCAAGGCCAGGTTGGACGGGGCTTGGAGCAACCTGGGCTAGTGGGAGGTATCCCTACCCGTGGCAGGGGCTGGAATGAGATGATCTTTAAGGTCCAACCCAAACCATTCTGTGTTTCAATGATTCTGATACTAACATTCCACCTAAAACTGATGACTTTCCACTGAGCAAAGCAGTACCTGAACTCATTATCATAAATTTCACAACTGAATGTAAAAAAAATTTGAAATGTCAGCGGCAACCAGAAGAAAGTGGAAGTAAAGATTCCTTTAAAGAAATAATCTAATTTTCATGAATCCTAGACTCTTAATCCATTATTAAATGAG